CTTGCAGATCATCACAATTACCGGTGGCTTAGAAATTTGATTAATGTTACATGATGTACCGCATGCATTTTTTTTTTCTTTGCTTTCCTCCAAGAATTTTAATTTAAAATCGAAATGCAAGCTGCCAACAACTCGAATGAATGGGTTAATTGGATTGAAGAATCTATCTCACAAAAACACATTAAGTACTATGAATTCGAACATTTTAGTGATGTTCAAGAGATTGGTATTGGCAGCTTTGGAAAAGTCTATCGTGCAAATTGGAAAGGTACACGGCAACATCTTGCGTTAAAATCGTTTCATAAATTTAAACAACGCCACCGTGAAAGAACTTGTTCGAGAGGTAGGCATAAAATGTATATATTTCATTTGTTTATTATAAAATCATCATATAACAAGTTAAAATTTATAATTTAGCTTGAACTTCAACGTGAAGTTGATTTTCATGATAATATCATTAGCTTTTGTGGGATAACATCTAAACAAAGTAAATCTTCATAACAAAGTTTATTTATCGAATTTTATTGTTTGTTTAAATCATTATTATATATGTTTATATTATTATTATTTTTTTTTAAAAAAAAAAATTAGAAAATCAATTGAAGAAGTATTGGTTAGTTATGGAGTATGCAGACGGCGGTGCACTTAAAAACTATTTGAAGGATAATTTTGATAATCTTACTTGGGGAGATAAATACAAGTTTGCATACCAGTTGTCTTGTGTGTCGTGTTCACATGAAGAACGAATTGTACATCGTGATTTGGTAAACTTGCATAATATATCTTTTTTGTTTGTTATTGATATTTTAATTAATCATTTGTGTATATATCTTATTAGCATTCCGGTAATATATTAATTCGTCAAGGTATTATTAAACTGGCTGATTTTGGATTATCGAAAAGAATTGAAGCTGCAACTACTCAGTCAAAAGTTTTTGGAGTAATTCCTTATGTTGACCCAAAATTTTTTACCAAGCGAAGAGTTGACAACACATCTCAACAATATACCTTAAATGAAAAGAGCGATGTATACAGTGTTGGCGTGCTATTTTGGGAGATATCGAGCGGTCAATCTCCTTTTAAGGGGGAAGAGTACGACATAAGCTTAGCTATTGAAATTTTAGGAGGACTTAGAGAAAAGATCATTCCCGGCACACCTGAAGATTATGTAAACCTTTATAATGGTAAATATGATTATTAATTTATTTATAAATATAAATGTATTAATCTAATTTCAGAATGCTGGAATAATAAGCCGGATAATCGTCCATCAATGAATCAAGTAGTTGATAAATTAAATGCAATTATTACGATATCTAACATAGCAGAAAATAATCAAACAAATAATTATGAATCAGATTTTCAACTATGTCGTTTGGGTAACATCGATGCTTCTTCTAGTATAAATAATTCATATGGAAAAGTATCTCAAATTTTTCGATTTGATCAGATTAATTATCAAATGAATAATTATGTACCAAATAATTCTGAAATTATTCATCATTTGGCTGGTCAGATAAATGTAGGAGAGTTAGAATCAAATATTGAAGTATTAGAAATTATTTATGATGATAAAATTGAAAGTTTAACTTTTACGGAATATAATGAGGATGACATATTAAACGCCTTAGGAGGATTACAAAGATATCGAAAATTAACAAACTCTTTTTGAGTGATACTTCAATAACTATCCTACAAATGTTACCCAACTCCTTAACTTATCTTTATTGCTCTAAAACTCAAATAACTATCCTAACAACTTTACCAAACTCCTTATCGAAACTTTATTGCTATAATACTCCATTAACTATCCTACCAACTTTACTTTACCCAACTCCTTAACGGTACTTAATTGCTCTTTTACTTCAATAACTATTCTATCAACTTTACCCAACTCCTTAACGGAACTACATTGCTCTAATACTCCAATAACTATCCTACCAACTTTACCCAACTCCTTAATTTATCTTTATTGCTATAATAATCCTTTAACTATCCTACCAACTTTATCCAACTCCTTATCTTATCTTGATTGCTCTAATGCTCCAATAACTATCCTACCAACTTTACCCAACTCCTTAACGGAACTTTATTGCTATTATACTAAAATAACTATCCTACCAACTTTACCCAATTCCTTAACTCATATTTATTGCTATAAAACTCCAATAACTATTCTACCAACTTTACCCGACTCCTTAACTAAACTTTATTGCTATAATACTTCAATAACTATCCTACCAACTTTACCCAACTCCTTAACTCATCTTAATTGCTCTGATACTCCTTTAATTATCCTACCAACTTTACCCAACTCCTTAGCAATTCTTGACTGTAAAGATACTTCAATAACTAGCTTACCTAATTTACCCGATTCCTTAACGAATGTCTACCCTGAATCTTTAAAAAATCAATAATTAATCCACCATCCTACCATCTTAACGCCTTGATACATTTTAAATAATAATTATTTACTTTTTCGTCTTGAATATAAAATGATTGGTTCCATTTATTTATTAATTATGTATAAAAAAATAAAGAATGGGTTAGTTGTTTGTATAGTGACATCAGGAATAAATTAATATACTCAAATCATTTTTAATTTCAGTTAGAAAAAGATATTTGATTTAAAGAACTCGTAGCAATACAATCATTTTATGAAGCTTTCTTTAGATTTGCACTTATTACTACAAATTTTAACACTCTCTGAAAATATAATCCTCTCGTTCTATTATAAGAAATTATTTTAATTCCCTGCCTAAAGCTCCCGTTGATCCAAAATTATTTTTATTTTCGCGTACATTTAGTTTTAATAGGCTTTTTTCAATTATTAAGTAGAAATAATTATAATCTACGATCGTTTATTATTTATAAAAAATAAATTGTAAAAAGTAAAATCTCAAATGATTTATATATTAATTACGTTGATATAATGTACTCACGTAAATAAATAAATTTTTTGTTCTTCCAACTTTTAAATACATCGCACACAAAATATTATTTAAAATATATATATTGAATATGCTGGATAACATACTGTATATAGGTATATTCAGAGTTGCATATTTATAAAAACAACCCACTAAATATTGAAACTGGATATGATATAGCAATAAAGTAAATACTAGTTAGAAAAAAACGCTAGACAAAGGCTAGAGAGAAATATATTTCAGATAGACGTAATCTACTCGGAATACATACATATAAAATAAATATTAGGACTTTGTTGATGTAATGATTATATAGTTAAACACACAAAATTTATTTAGATAGGACAATAGATTTAGAAACCAGCATCTATGAAATTTGTCGAAAAATTAACGTATTGCTACTGAAAAATTAATTTAAAAATTTTAGTCGGTTGATTTTGATTTATCTTAGGTTAAGCGATATATATTTTTGTAGAGTCTGTTTATTAAAACCAACAAAAATTTAATATTTTGAAATAAAATAATTATGAAAATTAAATCATTGTTCGTCGGCAAAAAAATTAATACTCCATTTTAAACGAAGCATCACTATAATTCGCGTACAAGAAAAAAAAATTAATAATAATGTAGTATAAAGCATCATGCAAAGTCAACTGTGCAAATGTTCATTATTGCCACATAATATCCGCCTTAAATTTTTTTTTATTTCCTTTAGTATTTCTTTAGTAAAATGACTTAATTATCTGCACAATTTTAACCTAGATTTTATAAAATATATCAAAAATATCGAACTAGCAAGAAACGTATACTATTTTCAGTGCAAATAACCTCTTATGCAATGATCGATAGCGCAAATGTTACCACTACGTTTATGAAGCAAGGAACTCTTTCTACTTTGTTAGTTTTAGCGTCTACAGTACGTCCGCCAAACTTAGCATTCTCAACAAATTTAGAGGACGCTCTCTGCCTCTGATTATGGCGACATAGAATCCCGAGAAAGGATATATTCTTTTCTTGATAGAATTTTTAGAATTTCTATCACTAAACAAATTGGAGAGACTCACCATTAAATGCGATGTTAATATAGTAACCTCAAAAATGTACTTTAACAATTTACATAATATCATACATAAAAAACTGCGGATGAATCAGTAAAGCAAATATAATATAGCACATAATTAAACTCTATGCCTTTGACATGAATACAGTACAGTATAAACCAATCCAATATCGCTGTTATCCTTCAACGCTGTTTACCCGTTTCTTTACGAACTATAATGATCTTTCTAGTTACAAACCTTGAACTTCTTTATAAAGCCAGTCTGAGATAGCTTCGAAGATGAGTATATGTGGACCATAAACCTCGTTGAGTTCAAATGACTGATTATTAAAATTAAGATCAGGTTTAAATAAATTTAACGACGCACAACCGTATGAACAAAATTCAATTTATTGTACGATTTGAATTTTTTTCGAAGAAGCATATTTTGAACATAATGTCTTGTATATCTGGAAATTAAACAAAATTGCTAAAAGATGATGGCAATTATTCAGCGATTTGGGTATATATGTTTTACAGTATATTCGTATTTTATATATGCTTTTCATCATTTTATTCATTATATTTATTTGTAATGAAGAGAGTTGTATTAATTATCATTTCAATTATTTAAAATTACATATTAGAGAACATAATTTATCTTATTCTTACATAAAATATTATATATCAGAGGAGGACAAAAGTATTGTATAGTTAAAAATTAGATAATTTTATAAATTTTTAATAAGTAACCGAGCTGCAATTTTTTAATAACATATTAGCTAACTATTAATAAAATGCTTATCAAAGTTCATCTAATAAAATTACTAATCAATCAAATGATCAAATAAACTTTTATATTTTGACATTAAAAGGTTATATTTGTTTTTCTATATATAACGCGTCCAAACTCTTCCTCTGAAAAAAAAATTTCAACCCTTCTTTTACTCGAATTAGCAGAAAAAGAAATTTGTATTGTTTATTCTGGTGATTCTCTTGACAATGACTTTCTGGTTATAATTGGTGAACTAATGTCGATGGTAATCATGTGTTTTTAAATATTTCACCGTTGGAGTCCTCAAGAAATATCTCGTCGAGTCGAATGGTTGATATTCTAAATATTTTAGAAGGTAACTGAAGGAAGCAAGAAGTTGAATACGCTTCAAGAGAAGTATATTACCGATTTAGTTATTAAAAAAGGACTTAGAGATGGTAATTTGAGTTCGGCAACGAAAAATATCATAGAACTTTACCCTGAACAATTTTTCATAGACATCGACATCATCGTTCAATTGCCACCATTGGAAAGTGCCACCCTCTCGAACAAGATATTTGTAGTAACAATATATCGATTTTGATCATATAACTTTATTCCCCCTTTTCTGAAAAGCACTGCTTGAAAAGTTAGAATATCGCAATACACTTCCTTTTGTGACTTTCAAGTTTTGAAATGAAAAAACTAAAAGAAGCAATTCATGATCGTTACAAGCTGCACAACATGAATAAACGAAAATACTTTATTCTACTAGGAGCTGGAAAAATGTAAGATATCGCATCGCACAAAATTACTAATTGAATGTTCTGAAAGTGATGTTGACTTACAAAACCGCCTTAAAGTTGCTCTTGTATATAATATATTGTTTGAAAATGGGACTATTACTTCGGAAAGAAATAATGGCTCATATGCAAATTGATAATCGAATGCTATTACTATTGTTGAAAGGATCGGTATGTTAATTATTATTCTGGATGGTTTATAAGTGGCAATGGATAACCCTGAAGAAGGAAAAAACAACAAAAAGAATTTTTCTACTAGTCACATCATTACAACTTCCGATAATAAATAATATCCAGTTTTTAATGATGGACGTGTGCATTGGAGGCTTTGGGATAGGATAAATATTTGAGCAAAGTCAATTCATTCGATTTAATAAAGAATGTGCGATTGAATTTTACTTATTTTTATTCAGGATGTCTGCTTATTTAATCAAAAGATCGAAAGGGGCAAAGTTTTTTATAAGTTTTGACGATTTTTTTAATTTGAATTATAAAATGTTGCATCTTTCGCTAATTATTTTGCAAAATTTTAATTAACAAAAACTTTCCAGGTAAATGTACATGTACGAAGCGCGTAGTAGAAGATGAATGGATACATTTAATAAAAAATATAGGAGCAAAGGAAGTGAAAGCTGGTAAAAGTTATTAATTTGATCGAAACATTTTAGTGAAGATTCATTTATTATTCTAAATCATTCATTTATTGTATCTGTAATGAGTTTTAATGAAGAAAATATGGGAGATAAAGGATGTAATTTGATTTGATGAAAAATAAATTAATTCAATTTCAATGTGATTTTTTTTTCTTATATAAATATATGATATTATAAAAAGGATCTTTGCTATATACGATTTTCTCATCTTGTAAAACAAAAAATAATAAATTTTTAAATTCAAAAATAGTATTTTAATATCAAAAGTTTTCGATGGATTTTGCAATCCGTCGAAACTTTTGTCACCGTCGAAACTTTTGCAATTTTGCCTTTAATAAAAATATTTGGCAAAACATTTCAACGGTTTTCGATTTCGATGCCTGTCGAAACCTCCGGGTTTTGCCTGGCAACCTTAGAGCTATATTAAAAGTTTCGATTTTCGGTTAGATTAGCTTTAATAGTTTTATAATTGTTCGAAAATAACACCTAAAAAGAAATAAAAGATCAATGAATCTTAAAACAGTTCCTTTTACAAACTTCTGAGAAATAAATTGTTTTTAGTTGAGTCTAATAATACAGAGGGTGGTCAAAAGTTTCCGGACACCTTTATAAATGCGATTTAAAAAATTTTCGTCATATAATTGTGATACCATACTGCGGTCATATGACCGTC